AAACGTACTAACGTCTACGAATAGCATTTGTGGACATGTTGGATGCGAACCGGACCGGGGCGAGGGAAGGCCGAAGAAGGCGCGCCTGAGCTCACTTGATATATAGCGGCCGCTTGGGGCAAGGCGCCAAGTCCCAAGTCCATGCCAGGCACCGTGACGTTCTTGTTGGCCCAACTGAGACGTTTCAATAGGTTCTTAATCTCATTCTAAATATCTGTAGGTTCAGAGCTCTTGTGCGATGCTTATATAAACGGTCCTAGCCATGGTATCTCTGAATAACTATGAGCCGTTAATTTAATTAGATCTACCGGTTATGATGACTTGTTACCTCGTAGGAGGTAATAATTGAAATATATATATATATATATATATATATATATATATATATATATATAAAATTTTATAAAATAAGATAAAGAAGAAAAGTTGTAGATTAAAAAATATTTGTTTTAGATCTAATTGATACATGCATAATATGTTTGAGCGTGCCAAATCTTTTTGTTTGGAACTTTGGACGTGACATACATGTAATGTGTACTTTTCCTTTGTCATGACAAATCTTTTTGATCCATCTAATTAACGTGTACTTTTTTGTGCATCAATACACTTTTTTATGCATCATCGTTGCATTGCCATTGGAGACCTTCGTTGGTGTTATATACCACGGAAGCGGACATTAACAAAAAAAAAGTTTAAATATAAGATTGTATAACATGTTTTTTTATTTATGTGTCAGAATGTCAACTAGTAAAATCCATCGTGTCAATGGTCAAATTCCAAATACACGTTAGTATGCATCAAAAGGAATTTTTAATTACATGCCAAAGACTGTTTGTTGCTTCCGTGACGTGTGCCACGCCCCCGCTCCCTGGCTGGTGCACACGAAGAAACGAAAGCTACCTCTATCCGATGATTAGGGGATTGGGGAGATTTGTTTTTCCTTTTTTTTAGATTATTATTTATTTATTCATTTTTTTCATTTATTTTATAAAATTCAATAAATCAATGGTCCAGATTCGTTTGAGTTATTACCTCCTATGAGGTAATAGTTGTGCCGTAGCATTGCCGTAAACTATATAAACATCTTTGCACTATACGTGCTGTTAGGGACATTGCATTGCATGAGCGCCATGGAGCGCAGAGACGGAAACACAGTCGATTAATCAGCCAGGCAAGTCGCCGGACACCGCTACAGCAACATGTTCAGGACTTCAAGTACATCACCTTTACCGCCTACATCAAAAGATTTTTTTTCTTACAACTTAAGCCCATGGCTGTCAGGGTATGTGCCACTGAATTACAAACTCTAGAGGAGTCAGCAGTGAACGGTCCTGTAAACAGATAGTGAAATGGTGTCACCGATGCAGATAATGGCCTTGCTTGGATCCACTTATTTTTCAGGAGTTTATATATATATAAGAACTTGTTTTGGGAGGCTCTGTGCTTCGGCTCCACAACTGTAGCAGTACTATGGAAGAGTTAATGGATCCTCAAATATATAGCTCCTCCGTCTCCTTTATTTTCTCGGTATATTTTGACCTATGAACCGTGCGCTATAGTGACCAAGCAAAAGGAGCCGGAGCATCTAGGAGTTGTGCCAAACGGACACTAAATTAACTTTTCACCGGCTTCGCACATAAAGAGCTTTGTAAAAAATAAGTCGAGCGAGTTTAACATAACCTACTTATCCTGGCCATATAGTGTATATCGCCACAGCCACCTCCGCCCTACTTATCCCGCCCATATAGTGTCCATCGCCACAACCACCTCCATCGCCTCCTCCTCCCACCGCTAAAGCCCCGCCATGTGGGTGTGCGCCCACTACTCGTCCACCACGCTTCATGCTACCGAGGTGTCTAGGTCGCGCCGGCGGAGGAGGCGGCGTTGCGGTCAAAGTCGGCGCCAGTGCCAGCATCGAATGAGACGGGAGGATGCCACAGAGGGAGCTCGATGGTAGAGGTGTGTTGAGCCCCAAGGGAGCCAGGGGTGTGTAAGGGGAGAGAGGAGGCGAATATCATCAGGAAAACGAGGGGAAGCGGAGGTGTGCAGCGTAGGCAAAGGTGACCGAACGAATGAGGGAAGGCGCAAAGGTCGCCATGGGGGCGTAAGGAGGCACAAGTCGTGGGAAGGCGGAGGAAGGTGAGAAGCTGAGAAGGAGCCTCTTCCCCAACTTTTTGCTTATGTAGTTTCACGTTTATGAAAGAAGCCCTGATAAGTTTGACGTTTGGTTCAACTTCTGCTTCTTTTTCAACGAGAATCCACTTTTTTTTAGAGAACGCGCTTAGGCGTGTATTTCATTAAGAGAAGTTAGAAAAGACTACAACAACGGCTAAGCCTAACGGCGAGTGGCCAACAGAGCAAGACGTTAACGCACACGAAAAAAAAAAGAGCAGGGCTGCAGTAGGGGTCTATTACATAACACGATTGTGCGACACAGCAATCTCCTGTTCTCACCGATGCCGGGCAAGAAGCAACGCCAGCGCCTTGAAGCCAGCATCAACCCAGGCGCTGCCTTCAAGGGCGATCTGCTCTAGCATCAAGGACGCCTGAATCTGAACGCCATCGAAGACCCGTCTGTTGCGCTCCTTCCAGATGCACCAGGTGACAAGCAAGACAAGCGAGTCGAAAGCTTTGGACATGGCGCCCGGCAAGCCCGCGCCTGGAACCACCGTGTGCGTAGTTCGTCAATCAGTGCCGGGGCAAGCTCGTCCAGTTGAAGTCGGTGAAGAACGCGCCACCATGTCTCACGATAACGAGTGTAGACGCACGCGACAAACAGATGGTCTATGGTTTCTGCCGATTGATTGCATAGTGCGCAGGCATCGCTGTCCTGGAGGCCATGCCGTTTGCGACGGTCCGCCGTCCATAGCCTACCGTGGAGAGCCAACCAGTTTAAGAATTTCACCTTTGGTGGAGAGCCAACCAGAAGAAGAATTTCCATAGCTCTTTGGCACCCATCATCGTGGTCCTGCCGATGAAGAAGGAGCAATAGGCTGACAACGAGAATCCACTTCATGAGCAGTTCCAAACAGGACAACAAAATTGGCATCGGCAGGCGAGAGCGAGATGATCGTAGTGTGCCGGGCCTGTCGATGTAGAAGGAGCGCTCCTGCTGGGCTTTTGAGAAGGTCGATCATAGTTGCGGATCCGAGTCCCTACCACATGCCGCCGCATTGGCGCAATTTCTGTTTTCGGCCCAATTTCCATTGGCGCTTTTAGTCTAGGCCCTGCTGTTCAGTGATGGGTCCGCGACACAGGTCCGCCAGAAGGTCTCAAGAAAAAAAGGTCCCGGCTACTGACAGTGCACACATAGTTCAGAACTGATACTCGACTGGAGATGGAACTGCACTTTCTGAACGTAGTTAAATCACGAGGAAGATGGAAACATACCAGTTACAAGATGTAACCTGTCCTCAAACCACACCATGCTCTATTGGTTCATTTGAACTCATCTGGAGATTGAATGCCTTTCATTTTTCTTTAAAAAATATTCCTGAAGACTGAAACAATTGATAGATTTGTGGAAGGGTCTCCAAAGAAGAAAATCCCAGAAATGCCTTCAAGATATGCAATAAACACTCAAATGGGGCAACTTGTGCTCAAACCAGGGAGCCAATAGATCCAAATTTTCTTTCTTAGTAACACTTGGACTTTAGCAACTAGCTTACTTCATGGTCCCCTTCAATAATGGTATCAGGAGGTCCCAAACCTCAGATAAGATCATTGATTATAAAAAAGGTAGGCACAAGATCATATGCTATGATAATGGAAACCTTTTATCAATCCCCGTGACAAACAGGGGCATGGTCATATATAGGCTCCACCGTTCCGCACTGACTTACCATCTAAGAAACCACAAATGAACTTTTCAGACACAAAGACGCATTGTGCCATAGCACAAGAATTTATGTAAGAAAATCATAATGATGACACTTAAATATGAACGACAATTTTCAAAACTAGTCATGCATTTCAGTCAAGGGAGAACAATAGGCTATTGGGTTTGTTTTGTATGTGTAAAACTAGTAGCATCCTTGCCCAATCACTAACCTTGAGCATGCCAAGGTTGCATATAATTTCTGAGTCAGTGCGGTGTCACATTACAAGCCACGAGAAGATATCACTAGTTTAGGAACCCCACCACAGTACCCTTTTCACAAGCATGACTTATTGGGTACGATACATCTTCTATATATAACATAAAAGCACATACAGAGTAGGTGAAACTCTATTCTACACCAAGAACAGACTGAATAGCATACCAAGTCAACAGAAGGTTGCTAACTCCGATGAAGGTATACTGCTGGCGAATCCAGTGACAGTCCATCAGAAAAAGAGGAGACCATCTAAAAGTTTCAACCTCATCTCGTGATTCTTTCAAAAAATAACTTCTACATATAGAACATATATAAGGGCATCAAGAAGTAGTCAGCAGCTAAGAGGTTCATCACGTCCAGGCCTACCCTTTTGAGTAAGCATACCCTACCCTTTTGAGTAAGCAAACCCTACCCTTTTGAGTAAGCAAACTCTTACCTTTTGAGTAACCATTAGTTGTCATGTCAAATCTTCTTTGAAGATATTTCAGTTTCTTATGTTGCTTCTTTCAACGTTGATCTATTTCAGTCAATCATAGAACATCATTTTTCATTTATATTGGAGAAGCAAATACACGAGGTCTTGTGGGGCTGCTTGTTTTCTGAAAGAACGTCCAAACTGAAATGTAGCATATATGCATGAGTTCCCTTGATTATTTTATGTTCAACTATACGATACAGAATTAAATGAGGCTCTTCACTCCATCGCTTGCTATTTTCAGCATTCCTTAGGAATAACCCAACAGCATTTTCTTCTAATATGAAATGCACAGTATGCATAAATATTGCATGTAGACGTTATGAAGCTGGCTTTATGATTCTAAAAATATACATGCTCTTATTAAGAGTTGATTTTCAGCTACTTCCAGCTATCTATGTTCACAGGAAAGTACAGATCATCAACAAATGGGGCAAATAGTAAAATTTGGAAGAACTCTATCCCAGATTGGTGTCTCAAGGTTTGATCCTAAGGTGAGAAATATGTGTTTTGTTCGCCAGTTAGAATGTCCACTTTTGCCACATATATGACAAATTGTAAGGACCTCCAGATCAAATTGGTGCTTTCAATTGTTATGTGCCAAGATGAAAAGAATTAACCACTTAGGAATCATATAAGCATCAAAAGTAATTTGATGTAATCATGATTCATAGCAGGAAGGATGGCAACAGAAGTTGAATGACCAAAGAAGCCTAGAGATATACAGCAAAATTCCAAAAAAATCAGAATATTCTGAACCAGAGGAAACTGAGAACCATCTACAAACTGAAAAGCTTCGTCCTGAAAGCTTATCTTCCTCTGAAATATTTTATCTGCTGTCTGTAAACGTAAGTATATTAAGCCAGCATGCATCTCCTATGAACCAAGTAATCTGATGCGCTATTTTAACTTGAAGTAAAGCATTCATCATGATCTACCCAAAAGCACACATGATAGGGACTGCATGTTCTCTAGAAGACTGAAATATGGTAGAGTGCAATTTTATGTTAATCCACCCACATGATATGATACCTGGTCCAACTCCATGGTACCAGTGTCCTTCAATTACATATTTTGTTCAACACATTACTGCATACTACAAACCTTAGATATTATCGTATATATGATTGAATTGCATATATTAAAACAATTTCCGTAACCAAGCATAAACTATAATAAATAGGTAACTATTGGTGAAACAAAATGAACTTTTCTTTTAAAAAACAAAACAAAACAAATAACCTATCAAGTGAACTGCCAAACAAAACCAAAGGCTTTCAATTTATCGCATAACTGTCAAACATTAAAAAATTATCCTATGTGTTATGGCCCAAAGTGTATCCTAACAGTGATTGCTTTACTGGGAAAAGAAAAACTAGAATGCAGAGTAAGATGTCCCATCAGATTATACTAGGACAAGACAGTTGAGATGGCAAAATGGAACGGGCCTACTCGTTGGATATAATATTTTTCCAGTACCCATTATATTTCATGGAATATTGTAAAGTGATCTCAAAATACGACATCTATGAGACTATGCTGTGCTTCTTAGAGTATAGGTGCATTCTCTGGCAATGGTACACTGGATATGTGCAAGGATGACAATGGAAACAACATGCTCAATCTCAATGAAGAGATAAAAAAAAGGGTGGAAGATATTAGGGTAAAAACAAATATAAATGTTATATACAGATAGAAGATGTTTATGTACCAGATCTGATGGATGCTCTTCCCACAGGCTCTACTATCCTGTGGAAATGTTCAGCGCACAAGATGTCAGAAATACAAAACTAGCCACGCCAACCGTGTAAGCAAAGACAAAACTTCCCCAGACTAAGGCAGTCTTTATATTTTAGATTTGACACATGTAATGCTCCCCAGATGATTATGGGCCCAGTGGCAGAATGGTTGGAAGGCAAGCTAATGAATATAGTGCAGAAGGGATATGTAAAGAAGAGGGAGGATAAAAGACTTCAAACAGCCCAGATAAATGCAGCCCTCTCAGTTGCAAGGCTGTCTACCGTAGTTGCAGGAACTATTGGAAATTGCTCCTTCGGGTCAAATAATTTGAGTGGCATGAAGATGCATGCTGCAATCACATCAGCTGCAGCGCTGGTGGCAGCCTCATGTGCTGAGGTGGCAAAATCTGCTGGAGCTACCAGGGAACAGGTTTCATCAGTCATTAATATGGGATTGGAGACTAGAGCACTGGGAGATTTGCTCACACTAACTACTAGCGCGGCAGCCTGTAAGATCAAGAACCAGACCAGCTCATTTTCTCTGGATAACATAACATGAAACCATGGTTCTTGCTTCTGTAGGTCTAAGAGGGGTTGAGGGTCTTAAGATGCGGACAAACAACTGTTCCTTGGAAGGCCGCATGAACAACCAGAAAGATGCCACACTCCTTGTTCGTACACCCAAGGGTATAGCCAATTAACTCACCATTTACTGATTGCTTATCCCATTATATTACTTCATTTTCAATAATAGAATGTTTGGGGGAAAATTAAGTGGATTCATTTGTGCACCCATGCAGGAAGGTTCCATAACAGGATTGTTTCCGTGCACTGCAAGTATGACAATATAATACTAACATTAGGCAAGAAGTGTCATTTCAAAAGCTCTGAAAAGTGTGAGTACTAAATGACATTTACCATTGTTTTGTACATAAACAAATAGAATTCATACTAAAGATCAGGTTAAAACAATGATGAGCTCTTAACAGATAAATTTTCATTTCCTACCCATGAAAAAGCATTCCAACATAGCACAATGACAGACTTAAAAGATCTAGACGATACAGTCATACAGTGAAACTATAAGATAGAAAATAGTAAAATACAGTCATACAGTCACTTAAAGAAAGAACATACTTAGAACTACCCCCACTTTGCTAAGCAGGAGGATATTAAAGATAAGTGAGCTGCCAGAACTATGACGCATTGTTGTTTCTTTCCAACAAATTGTCATACCATTTACCCACTTTCTTCCAGATGTAATTTTCCACGAACAAGGGGAGGGAGAAGAGTTCAGCTATCCTACAGATAAACAAAGCTATTGTGCAATGAATCTCTCCACATCTGGTGGAACCATTCAGTTGTTATTTGAAGAGCATGAACAATACAACTCCTGGAGGGCATTCATCAGCTACCACATAAACAAGGGACGGAAGCTACTGAGTGCCTAGTTCCAACTTCCTAGCAACACAACACCATGTATTTCTTATTTTATTATACTCTAAGTTTGAAATCCTATCAGTAACAAATATAGCAAAATAAAACTTACAGTTATCTCACTAATGTAGTCAAGGATGATGATTTTCACTTTTGAGTAGTCGATTACTTTAGATTTTGAGAAAATGGTATTTGCCACTGGATTAATTTGTCTCAAGGTATCTTTTTTCTTAACATTTTGCTAGTTATTTAATATATCAAATTTGAGGCTCAGTGAACCTCATTGAACTAACATATTTTAATTTTTTTATTAGCATTGGCATCACAACTGGCAATTTCCACAGTTGATTTGACAGTTTTTTTTCTTATTACTTTAGACTAGCGTGGTGTCAAACTTTTGCAATTTCATCAAACTTCGGAACTGAAAACAGCAACTGTCAGCAACATTGGTCTAAGACATTTAGTGTTAATACTTTTTGTATTTGTTTTGATCTCAATAAGGGAACAATTTCCAGGCTACAGGAGTCGACACTAAAACACAACAGCCCTACTCCTACTCTGAAACTTGCCTAGACGAAGATGATGCCGTGCTCCTTAATGGTGCTCCTTAATGGTGTCAATCACGATCCCGAGCTTGCCCTCGATCCTCTCGTTCTTCTTGGGCTCATAGGCCAGAGCAAAGACGTCGGCGTCCATGGACCTCTCGGCGATGAGCCTCCCGATGGTCCTGCAGGCGTTGTCGTCGACAAGGGACGGGAGGGTGAGCCGGAGGTCCTTGGCGTTGGTGGTGGCGACGGCGATGACCTTGCTGGTGCCCCTGTGCATGACCTTTGCGTGCACGAAGCGCTTGGAGAAAAAAACATTGGGCAGGAAGGGACGCATGTACATGTCCGTGCGCTGCTTCCACGACTTGCGGTTGGGCCGCTGCTCCGCCTCCCCGCGCGACCGCCGCGTCCACGCCGCGCACACCACCGGGCTCTGCTGCGGCGGGTTGGCGATGGGTTAGATCAGCGCTACGACATCATCGCGGTAACGAATCGAATCGTAGCGTGCCGGTGCGTGAGATGAGAGAGAGGGTTAAGAGGGTTCGGACCTGGCGGCTGCCGGAGGCGGGAGGCGGAACCGGTGGGTGGAGCGCGAGGCCACGGGCCGGCGGGATGCGGGAGACGGCGATGGAGGCGGACCATGAGAGCGACGATGCGCTGAGAGAGGGCGCGGCGCAGGAGAATGGCGATGGGGCAGCATGGCCGTAGTGGGGTGGAGTGAGGCCATGGCAGCGGGATGGGGGGGAGGGGGCGAACGGTAAACAGGAGAGGAATGGGGTTTTAGGCCGTCTTACCCAGTTTGTTCGAGGCTGCGTAGTTTTCTCCGGGACCGGGAGCTGCGTTTTCCAAGCGTGGAAAATAGTGTAAAATATATGGCGTTGATCGCACTTGCACAGAGAATCTTATAAATAAATGGAGCTCCGTTTCTTATTATTATATTATAAAACAGTTCGTGCTTTCAAAATTTTGTTTTCTGAATGCTTATGCTTAGTTATTATGAAAAAAAAATCACCCTGTTTACTTACGCTGAAATTTAGCTTACGCTGAAATATTATGAGAGAAAAATATTATTCTATGACTAAAAAGTAGTGTTGAATAAGCTCAATCGCATAAAATGCTTAGCGAGAGACAGCATCTAGACCTTGATTGGACAAATATTCTCAGCTTACAGAGTACAGACAGCATCTAGACCTTGATTGGACAAACATTCTCAGCTTACAGATTATGGGATTGGCCAGACATTCTCAGCTAGTCAGCTTACATATTATGGGACTGGCCAAACATTCTCAGCTTACAGGTTATTGGAGGCCAAGACTGAATACAAGCTCAAAGTATTTTTTGAGCGAAACAGACCAGTCACTCTATCTCAACGTTGCTTTGCAGTGATGCAACGTCTACTTACCAAAAAATCAATATGCTGGCGCACAATCAATTGCATTGTTACAGGCTCACAGTCACAGCAGCGGCCCGCTGTTCTAGAAGCCCCCTAGCCTCTAACAAAAGATTATCGCTATTAACCGGCATACCCGAGACCGAGAGTCCACAGAACCATACGTCCAAAAGTACAGAGTGAAGATTACTACCTTACATCATTTTATTACATACATGTATAACTATGGCCACGCTCTTTACCTCCTATGAAAAACTTGCCTCCGGAGTCTAGATCAAACCAGAATTTGCATTCCTCAAGTGAAACTGGAACACCAGTTCTGACAGTATTGATACCATGCATTGATTCCTGACCAAATATAATGCGCCCATAAGCTGCACTTGACTGATCATTCTTTGGCAGCTACATTGGCGCCACATCCTAAATTCCTGACATCTGAGATGTTTTCGATGGCAACCACCAACGTGACATCTGAGATGTTTTCGATGGCAAGATAGCCAAACAACATTGGGTTAAACAGAGAATGAACATAACACGAGATACAGCAACAAATGGGTGATGCTGAGGGCCTCCTCTTTTCCCTTCTCTGTTGGTACCTGCTCAACAAAATTTCCATGTGGTCGAGTTACAAGGTCTACCCCCCAAACACAAATGAGGGAGGCATTTCTACATCCTACGATTCTAGACTACCAATATACATACATGTATGGAAATTACCCAATGCCACCATTAGTGCAAACCCATCCTCCAAGCTTGTCAGATCAATGTGACCTCACCAAGCCAGCAGCTTTGCTCCAGCCAACCATGATCAAGCTTGCAGCACATATGTGCACGGCTGAGCAACTCAACCTATATCCTTGGGCTCCTGCCAGAGGCAATCTTGTCTCCTCTTGGTATAGAAGGGCATCCCATCAAGAATAATTTGCTCATCTATGTTCATCCGATATCTGTGAAATCTGAAAGAGGTTCTAACTCTTCAATACCAGGAAGGAGACCAGAGTCACCCTGATCTGGGAAGAACTCGAGATCGTCGACCTCTTGCAAGAGATCCTCGGAGTAGTAGAATTCAGAATCGCTGATACCAAATTCAGATAGGGAGTCACTAATGTGGAAGTCAGCTGTACTTGGCAATAGTTGAGCAGGCATATGGAGAAAATTACTCATGACAGTTGGCCCTTCCTGATGCGATTCAGTAATCTTCTGGACTTTGGATTTGGTAGGTCTACCAGATTCCGATGCTGCTTTGTGCTTTCCTATGGACTTTGAACCAGATTTATGGCGGGTGGCATCATTTATGTGGAAAGCTGATGATGCCCAATGAGAACTATCACCATCATAACAAGCTTCTGATGCTATCCTGCAAAGCAAAATGAAAATGATGCATTAGCATTATTTTGTGTAGCAGAGGTGGGCTAAATATTAGGAAAAATCATGAAATTCAAAGAATCGCTGTTTTATTTAAACTAAGATAAGAATGACAATGGCCACCACCATTATAACAGCAAAATATGAAGACTTGCGTCAACACTGACCTGAGTCGGTTCTCAGCTTGTCTAAAAGAAAGTCCAGACAATAACGATTGTTCCACTGGCTCTGGAGCCTGTTTGGATGGTTCTGGTTCCAGTATGGACACATTTATTACAGATGGGAAGTCTTCCTCATAAGCATGTTGATCTTTCAAGAAATCTAACTCTAATTCTAAATAATTCCGCCAGTATTCCTGATTTCTTGACGGTGGTGGAATCACCATTAGTGTAGACTTAGCCTGAGCATCTGCAAGGGCTTTCCTAACTAGATTGAAGCTTGGTCTAAAGTTTACCATGGGCCAGTTCTCACTTGATCCACCAGGCTTCTTCACAGGAGAAAACATATGTAATGCACTAGAGTAAGTATTCGTAAAACAGCAGGGATCACGGCGACATTTTGATCTCCAGACAGACGAAATTACAGCCATGAAGTGTTTCTGGAGAAGCAATTCATTGTTAGGAAGTTCACTGGTCACATTCACCAACATCTGAGCTTGATCCTGAAAAAAAGATATAATAATAATCAGATATTTGCCAACACAATAAGGGCTCCTTTGGATATACCCATTCCCCATGGGAATTGGAGGGGATTGAGGGGGAAATGCTGATGGGGAATGATAGATCCAAAGGAGCCCTAAGTTTTATGTCAGCAGTAAATTGCAGATAAGTTTTAACATGGCACAAGCAAAGTCACATGTTCTTCCTGTTTAATTGGATTGAAGCTATGCTGGATTGGTAATTGGCCATAAAAACAATGTAACGCCAGGATAACACAGTTGTGGGTGCTTGGCAGTTACCCTTACTAGTATATCCTGTACCATTTTTTCTTACAAACTGGCCAGTCTAGTCTAGAAGCTAAAGATCAAGAAATTTTACTTACACTGACCCAGTTTCCCCTATAAACTGGGCCCATTCTCTTATTATTGATATAAGCTGGAATCAAAGGTTCCAGGTCTTTGCGAAAAAAATTACTTAAACTGAAGGGTTCTATGAATAAAGTGTATTGTCTAAGGTATGTTTGCTTGCATGATCTCATAAGGGCACTCCCAACCAATAGATGGTTTCTATCTTCATTAATTAGGGTGCCAACTAAGCAAAAAGAGGACGTGGCACTGCAATTAAAGAAGAGAGATGAGGAAATGGTTTCCTAGAGAAGAAACCATGTCTACGCGAGAACCAAGACACGAAGAGATGTGATTGGTAGGTAACGAAGAGAGAAGACATGTGATTGGACAAAATATTATTATCTAGAAACTATCCATTGAGAACATAGTTTCTACATATAGTGTCTACAGAAATTATTAAGTTTCTACATATAGTGTCTACAGAAATTATTAAGCATAGAAACTACCCGTGGTTTCTAGCATTGGGACTGCCCCAACTATTTTGAGAGATCATAATAAAGTCAATCCATTGTTTGAAAAACAACAATAATATAGTCAAAAGTCAATCTTTGTCAAAATTTGCGCACTACAAAGCTTCCTTTTTGATAAGGTAGTCCAATAGGAAGACAAGATATCAACTCACCTCAGATACTCTAAGTATAGCCTTTCCAGTCCCAGAAGGAACCTTTTCACTGTTAGAATTATCTGTTGCTGATATTGCATGTTTGCAGAACAGTTCTCTGTATCTCTCACAGCAATGCACAGGATGATGATATCTTCCCCTATAGGACCCACCTGGCAAGGAATGAAGAAAATCACTTGCCAATTCCCAAAGAGGACCATACTCATGCACAGTTCCACAAAGAACTGCATCTTCCTCAGATGTCCATGAGTCTGAAGCACAATCTCGAGACCATATTCCCTTCCTTTTCAATCTCTCAGGCTTTATTACAATAACCCGTTTTACTGGCATAAAGGGGATGGAAATTCTGCCATCACTTTTAGTTCTAGCCATTGATTTTGGATCTGAATCATTGAGATCCTCCTTCAGCCTAGGTGACAAGGCTTCAGAAATAAAACTTGACTTAGTAGTTTTCTTAAACTTCTTTAAACTTCTGCTGTTACTATCTTCCTCAGTAGCAGACATAATCTTCTTACGCTTGTTAGAATAATGGTGTGGCGATTCATCACTTATAAGCTCAGGTGAGGGTGCATTGTCATCAATGCTCATTGTATCTACAGAGGTTTCCTCCAGTACGACTTCTGATTCAGACGACAAACGCACTCTTTTCAGGGACTTGAATTTGCCTGTTTTCTTTTTGTTCTTTTTTGACTTTCTGCGGTGACTGCTGTAGATGAATGCCAAAATGTATAGTCAATAGTATATCAAAGGGAAGCTATAGTCTAAGCAAAAAAAGTCAACAGCCACAAAAACATCCATTAGAAATAATGTGGGCACATAGCATGCTAATACCGCCAATTGACACAAAAGTGAAGTGCAACTGAAACAAAACAAAAGAAAAATTTACTACCACTGTTGTGTTTCAGGAAAATAAATTTCCATTCAGTACCTCATATTATCATTCTTCTCCTCCAACTCTTTTGCCGCTTCCTGGGCCTGTCTTTCCTGTTCTTCCAACAACTGCATGTATTATAACAAGTCAGACTAAAAGGCACCGTGTTTCAAGTGAGACACGTAAGAATACAAGTTATCAAGTCAATAAACGACCTGCTTTTGAGCTAAAGCCTCAACATGTTGCCGATAGGCTGTTGTAGCAAAATCAACATCCCATGCTGCAATAAATAAAGATGATGTCAATATTACTAAAGCATAAAAAAGGAAGGATACCTACATTGAGGTGAAAACAAAGCTCCAGCTAAAATGCAGAAAATGCCAACACGACAAAGAACAGAATGTTCCAAAGTGGCAAAAAGGAAATTATTGCAGACATAAAATACTTACATTCATAAGACAGTGGTTCTTGGTCTTCATCAATTTCTGCTTCCAAATCCTCTTTGAGTTTTTCAATACGATCAAGCTCCCATTCTTCCTCCTCAACATTTACTTGATGATTCACAGCAGCTTTGTCAATTACTGGATCCCAGAGTTCCATAAAGCGCATTGCATATCTATCAATTGGCCGGAGCTGGTTCTCAAAAGATGAACTTGCTTGCCCTGCTGCAGCTGCTGCAGCTGCCATCTGTTTCACATCAGCAAGCATGTCAGTATCTTCATCACATGCCAATGTAAGAGCCTTTTCATCGCTCAATCGCTTGGTAGACAAAGTAATGTGCTTCTCCTTCTCTACATCAGAAGAGTTGTATTTGTGTTCTTCATTAATGTGCTCATCAGGTTTTCCATCCTCCTCATTAACCAATTCATCCTCCTCTGGTCTGCCGGCAACCTCCTCACTGAATTCTTGATTGTCCACGGCTTCTTCCTCCTCCAGCTTCTTGAGAGCCATATAGTCAGCTTCATCTTCTGCCTGTCTGATAGCTGCTTCAACATCTGCATTTGACAGAGCCAGATCCACATCATTTGAAGCTCCCGCGGTTGTAGAGCAATTCTTCTCCTGATCTTCCGCATGGAGAGACGTGTGCCCGGAAAAGAACTCCATAGGATCAAGTTTCTTGAAGAATTCCGTATTGTAGCTACCACGTTGTATCACTAAATCATCAAGAGCTCGTTTCTGATTTGCTTTCTTGAGAATGTTCTCCTCTATAGTGCTTTCACTAATGAGTCTATATATGTGAACTTCACGAGTCTGACCAATCCTGTGGCATCTGTCCTGTGCTTGTAGGTCCATTGCAGGGTTCCAATCACTGTCATAGAAGATCACAGTGTCTGCACCTACAAGGTTGATTCCCACACCACCACTACGAGTGGACAAAATGAAAAGGAAAAACTTTGGGTTTGTGTTGAACCTCTGCATCAGAGTCTGCCTCTCTTCAGGGGGAGTAGAACCATCTAAACGTAAATATGTATACCCATATAAATTTATGAACTCTTCCAAGACGTCAAGCATCTTAGTCATCTGAGTAAATATCAAGGCCCTGTGCCCTTCTGACTTCAAACGCCTTAACAGAATTGCAAGTTCCTGCAACTTCCCACAATCAAACTGGATCAAACGCCTATCAGGAAAGTAGACTTGACGACGAACAATAGCAGACCTTATAGGAGACAGAGTGGGAGAAAACTTGTTCATGCATTTTTCTCTATATTCCGGATCAATAAAAACAGGAGACTTTCCTTTGCTGCACCAGCAAACAGGTGGAGGAGCTCGAGCAGCAGGAATTGCGAATGTAAATGATTCAACAATATCAAGCATTTTCTGAAAGCGTTCCACAGATGGAAGAACAAGATCTGCAAGGCTTGATGAATAGCCCAAGTGGCACAAAGGGTTGTTCCTCTTATCAAGAATATCTGATACAGGATGATTTACAGTCAAAACATGTCTCGTGTTTGTGCCATAGACAGGCCTCTTTTGGCATCTAACCCTATTCCACCATGCAATGGAAGCTGCCCTTTCTCTGGATTCCTTTATTCTCTCCTCCTGTAGGGCTTTCTGAATATCTTCAAAAATGTTTGTCAAATTACTTCCCTCATGATCCTTATTAGAGCAAAAAATATCCAAGTCACAATTCCTGGAGGTGATACTTGAAGGAAAGGCAGAGATGACCTCGTCAGCTTCCCAGGAACTCATGCTAAATTCATTTTGAGTAAACACAAAATTCATATCAGACAGGTCCACCTGAGAAAATGGACTCTTATCAAGGAGCATGCAGACTGAATAGCTGAGCTGCATGTTAATCCCAGCCATATCAAATGAGCTTATTATTGGGCGACCTTCAAAAAGATCTGGATGGTTACAGACCTTTCTAAGTTGCATAATGATGCTTATCATGCCAAAATAATTCCCACTTGCCAGTGTTGCTTGTGTCTCTGAGCTAGCGATAAAATCTTCATACAAGTTCCTTTGCCTTCTAGAAAGTCGGCAATATATGACATGCTCATGCTTCCTTGGTAACTGTTTCTCAACATCCCTTTTCAGTCGGCGCAGTATAAATGGACGAAGGACATTATGCAATCGATCTATAACTTCTTTGTTTACTTTATCTTGGCCTTCCACCATCCCAGAAATTGGATTGCAGAACCAATCCTTGAACTCTTGATGAGACTGAAATACATGAGGCATCAGAAAATGCATGAGGGACCAAAGTTCCATAAGGTCATTTTGCAGTGGAGTTCCAGTCAGAAGAATACGTCTCTTTGAATTAAAGTTGAGCAAAGTCTGCCAACGCTGTGATTTCCAGTTCTTTATCAGATGAGCCTCATCAAGAATAAGATACTTCCACTTCCACTTCGCTTAAACACTTTAGAGTCCTGAATGACAAGCCTATATGTTGTGATGCAAACATGGAAGTAATTTGGTTTCATCCAGCCCTGACGTTTCTGCTTTCTCTCCTTTGCACTTCCGAAATAAGTCAGTATTTTAAAAGCAGGACACCACTTAAGAAATTCAGTCTCCCAATTTAGCATAACACTAGTCGGCACGACAATAAGATGAGGACCCCATATCCCCTTCTCACACGCAAGGTGTGCAAGCAAGGAGATAGTCATGATTGTCTTGCCTAAACCCATTTCGTCTGCTAGAATTCCATTAAGCCTCTTCTCATACATAGCAACCAACCAATCCAGCCCTATATGCTGGTATTCACGAAGAGAATGCTTAAGAAGGAATGGGAATTTCGTGCGCACTTTTGTAGTCAAGAAGGTGTTGCCAGTTGGTTGTGCTAATCTTGCAGCAGCTGCAGCATCAGCAATTACATCATCACTCTTATCTCCATGGACTGCCTTAACATCAGTGAGATTATTCTCTTCCACAAAATTTTGTTGAGCACAAGGCTCTGATGCAATTTCTGATTGTAATGCCTCCTGCTCAGTTTCCACCACATCGATTTCTGATTGTAGAGCCTTGTGCTCAGTTTCCAGCACATCCCTGGATTGGTGATCCACAAATATATCACTTTTCGCTTCCAAAATGTTCACAGATTGATCATCCAAAGACATGTCAGTATTGACCTCTTCAACAAAATGGGGTGAATTCTCCAACTCCGCTGTTTCATGATCTGCACAGCCATCCTAAATATAAAAAAAGGTATTACAAATGGACCACAGTAATTTGTTTGAAGAAAGCAATGAAAAATCTAACTATACCTTTCGGTACCTCGCGAGAAGTTCTTCTAGTGGTATCTCACTCTCCTTCTGCAGTAACTTAATCTACAATGGAAAGGACATATGATCACCAAAAAATAGTTAGCAGAACCCTTTTGGAACATATGTAATTGTGAAACCAATAGCTAGAAAAATTGGGAGGGTATTTGCAATTAATGTATAAAAATACTCCTAGGCCGACTCCAACCTCTGAAGCCTTTAATGAAAACAAGAATTTGGCTACATAAAATTCTAAATGGAGGAATGCTGACCACCAGGGCCCTCTGCATAGACCAGTATAATGTCACATTTTGGCTTTTAGACATGGTTCTATTGGATAATAATATATAATATTTATATGATCCTACTGATTTAAATATGCACCACATTGTTAGTCGTGTGGTCTTTCATTCAATTTGCTAGTATCTGTTCAGCAATCAAATAATAAACCCTAGAATTCGGGTTTAACGTTAAAATGCCAGTTTGTGTGTGTGTGTGTGTGTGTGTGTGTGTGTGTGCGAGAGAGAGAGAGAGAGAGAGAGAGAGAGAGAGTTTGCTAAGTTTCAGAAAACAAAATACTGTTAGCCCCCAATAATTGCAGAAATATAAGGGTATTTTCCTAAACAGTCAGCCAAATGGATGCATCGCTAATATGCTCATTGAATCACTTCCTCATGCACAAGATATAATCAGACCCCTTATCAAAACTTAAGGGCTGTGCTTTTAATTGGGATTCACACAGAAACAAACTTGTGTTACTAAAGGAATCTTTGTATGTTCTAAACTAACATAAAAAGACTGTGGAACCAAAGGTGGTGGCAGATAGCCCAAACAATCTATTTAATTAACTTAGTTTCTTGACATTCCCAGAATTAATGTCCAGAACCAAAATAAATGAAGCGAACTTCAGAAAAAGAAATCGATAGCCTGGCATAGTTACACATGATAACAATGCTATTGAGACAGTTTTCAAGACCGGCTAAGTTTACGCTCCGTGCAATAAAAATTGAACTAGAGCACTTCAGCATGACAATGCAAACAATTCAAAGATGTTATGGATTGATGGCAGCAACCACCTCTTCCAGATGATCAGGATCTTCTTTCTTTGCCAATTCTTCCTCTTCAGACAAAGTTGCTTCGTCATCCTATCAGAGATGATCATATATTATGTATCACGAGACAGCAGGACTCAGTATACATGACAACTTTACTAAATGGCTATAGTTTTCCCGATTTTTCTTCAAGTATAACTCCAATCCAGGTAGTATGGCGTAATGGAAAAACTAGGGAACAAGAAAGCAATGAGGAAACAAGATGAAAAAGGCAATGCTACCTTTACTTCTTCAGCAGCAATGTAATCTTCGTCCTCCTGAAAAAATAATATCGCAGTTACATTAACATTAACCACACAATCATAAAATAGCCAGATAGGAGTCCTAGAAAGCAGTTTTTTTTTTTTTGCCACCTTTCATCTAGTTGAGCTTAAAAAACAGACCATTTGATCTTTACTTGGCATGAAGAAACCAAAGCTGAATATCCCCAACCTCCGGTGCAATAGTGGAAACTAACATGTGTTAGGTTTGGAGACAACCTATGATGGGATGATCCTGTTCTCAACCCCCCCCCCTCCTCTTTTTTTTTTGTGGGGGGGGGATCCCACTAGCCTGTTTGGTTACCAGGATGTGACAATCCCACTGAGAAGCAGATATGGCCATGCCAGTGCCAGGAGGGTGCAGGACACCTCCCGCGCGAGGAAAGGTGGAGCACACAGCAGCAGGAAGGTGCAGGGCGCCCCTTGTCTTGAGTTTGCCCAGGCCACACTTGTTTTAAGCACGGAGACACAGACATTGGAGGACAGAAGGCGGTGCGGGGCTTGATTTGCGATGGCTGCAGCCAAGGATAGCGCCATGAGCCTAACTGCGAAGAGGGCCGCGACAGGAAGGTACAGGGCACCGCGCCGGTGACACTCACGATGTTGATTGTAGCTAAATTTACTGGGATTTAAGCTTAAAATGTCCACATTAAGTAATCCAGAATGTATTGCATTTCTTTCTCTGCTCTTCCTCTACTTCTTAAAGGTTGTTAATGGAGGTTTAATTTTGAAAAGATAAACTTTCATGTGATAGGGGTATTGTTTTCTTAATTCAATAGCTAACTGGTCTACAAAGGAAGTTTAGTTGGGCAGATACTATCAAGTGAAGGGGCAGTCCACAAATAGCTAGTGTTAAAATTCTTCATGACCCATGACCACTGCAAACTCCCATTTCCCACACATAAGGATTGTTTCTAGAGACATCACCCTCAGGCAGCGATAGGAAAGAAAAAAATATATAAGTATATAACAGTGGGATAAAGGATAAAGAAAATCATAAACAACATAGATGACTAGAACATGCCTGATCATTGATAGAAGAAATATTTCCGTTACTTTTACCCTGAAAAGTTAAGAAAATTTGGCGGTACAATCAGATAATGCTCTACGCCCAGGGTTTCATCCAAAGAATGAATAAAGATAAAAGAATAAAGCCAACACATGGAGCACAAATAAGATACAGAAAGCAAGCATACATGACTTTTCTTCACAAACTCAGCATAAGATTGATCATCATCCACTTCCTCAGAAGAATTGCCATCATCACTTGAAGAGTGAGCAGGTTCATGATCACAGCCATTAGCCTGGTTCGAAGAATCTGAGAAAAAGGCAAGATCCACATCAATCATAAGAAATGACATCAAAGAGTCTGATCAACTTCCTAATACTCTACACAATCTCACCTACAATCAAATTCTTCGAACCTAAGTTACTTAACATGTCATTGCTGTCTGGACTGCTTTCCCTGCTAACTGAGACATATTGAACTAATCAAATTATCAATTGAGTGTCAAGCAGTGCATAGCATTGTCCCCTCTATGTATGGAAGTGGGTAAGAGAGAATTGTTGTTGGAGATCACCTTTGGTTTTGGTATACATCTTGAGAATAGCATCCAGTGGTAGGTCAGCTTCTGCCTCTAAAGCAGCTAGTTCTTCATTCCGCTCAGCTTCGGTGATCTGAGCTTCATCCTCATCGATTGTGTGCTCATCATCTTCCTGCAGCATTCACACATACAAGTACGATTCATGTGAACAACGGTTTCAAAAAAGACAACATTCCATTCTAATACTTTTATGCAGCCTACTACAAAATTGACTAGAGTTAACAGTATGTCAAAAAAATCTATCACCAACTTTTGCTGGTCTGAACAATAATTGATAAATGAAAATATATTTGATGCCATGTAACAGTACAATATTAAGTATATACTATATATAGTGAAACAAAACAGAGGAAAAAACATATGGATGGTAATAGCCTCAAAGAAAAGGATCCTTCTCAAATTAACAAAGACAATAATGTGCCCTGATACATAGAATTCCTTACATTTACTTTCTGAGTAACAAAAGAAAAACTGAATTAGGTAACTGAAACGGCTTACTGGCTCTTCATCCAAGGAGCTCTCATAATCATCATCGACTTCCATATTATCTGCAAATAGAAATTGTTTAAACCAAGAGAACGAAAATAAGGTCTTGACACATGCAAAATACATCACTATGCTACAAACCAAGATCATCAGGAATGGCTGCATTTATGTTCTCTTCTGCTACTTCTTCTTGATGGGATGGTTGGTTTATCTGCGAAGTCCCGTTTTCTAGGTTTTGGGAATAGGGCATGTCCACAAGGTTTTCCGCCAACATTGTCGAATACCTGGAGAGAATTGTACCAAAGAATAGAAGGTCAATATACAGCTAGGAACAAAATTAAAGATGCTACAGGTCAAATGAACCATAATGAGACTGACATACCTTTCAGTCTGACCTAAAAGGAAATCAAGTTGCTTATCAAGTGCCTTCTTCTTTCTCTCCTCAACCTCCAGTTGATGCTTATAAACAACCTGCTTTCCCTCAAATCAAAGAAAAAAATATAGCTCAGTTTTCTTCCAAAGATGAATATCCTAAAGTACTGTCACAGTTAGCCACGACGTTAGAAAACAAAAATGAACTTGCCAGCTTTTCTATTTTAATCCAGAACTTCTTCACATCCTTTGAAATATTAAGGGCAACTTTTCGCATTCTATGTTCTTCCTCCTGCAAATAAAAATCATCATATACTAGAATAATTCTCTTAATTCATTATTTACATAATTCGACTTTTGGGTTATTATTGGAGCACCATATCTTCATTCAAAGGCATTACAGAAATTAACCATAGCTAACATTTCATAGATAAGCAGCTTGCTGCAGTACCCCTTCCAGAAGCTACTGTTCAATTACGAAAGGAAGCCAGCAGCAGCAGCGTTGTGGCTGCCAGAGTAGCAGCAGCGAGCAGAGCCGAGATATATGACAGAACAGTGTCTACAAGTCATCCAATTAATCATGATTAATCGGCCTAATTGGTCCCTTTAAGTCAACTAGGGACACCGAGGCGACTAGCTTGACTAGAAACTTGACTAGGCTTCCAGTCATCCGACTAGGAGGAGGATGGGGTTGGATGCTGTGACTGCCTGTCCTTTCACGGGCCTGCTCAACTGGGCTTAGAGGTGTGGGCTACGGGCTGCCAATTTGGCCTCTTCAGGTTAGGATAAGTGTGCCCAGACTCCAGCAAAACGCAGAGAACAGAGGAGCGCCGGAATTCTTTATCCCACGCCGCCGCAACTCTTCCCGTACATGATTCCTCTCTTCCCTTGCGCTATTCCTCGTCTCCCGCGCGCCATTCCTCCTCCCCCATGCTATTCCTCATCTCCCATGCACCGTTCCTCCTCTTGTGGAGCCATTAAGCCGCCAACGCTCTCTCAAGCCACCGCCCCTCTTCGTGATGTACTCCTCAGATGGTGTCTCCATCCTGAGGTGCTGTACAGCTGTTGTGTACATGTGCAGATGTGGAACGGCGGCATGCAGTGGTGGAAGTGATCATGCATGACCTTGAATATTGTCTTGATGCTTGCTTTATTGTGTATACTATATAGTATGTATAGTATGTATATGTCCTGAAATATATAGGACAAATAAGATGACTAGTCTCGACTAATCGGTCTGGTCCACAACTAATCATGACTAGTCGCCTTGTCAGTCCCATTGCAACTGGGTTCGACTATACAATTTGTAAACATTGTGTCACAAGAGTCAAACCTTCTGTTTTCTCTCGCCCTTTGTTGCTTGGTCAACTATGCTCTTATTTGCTCTTTGAGCAATCTTTTTGGCCATGGACAACTTCCATTTTCTCTCAGAATCAAACTCCTGCAGCATACACAAATTTAAGCTTGCAAAAAAAAAAAATTACAAATTGACGATAAATTTAAGCGGGGGTTTCTCAATGAGAAGGATTGCAATTTGCCAATTATAATATAATATAGTAAGCAACCTTTGCCAGCCACACCATCTCAGCAAGGACATGGTCCCAGTGAACTTTTGGCCGTCGAGGCTCCCTTGGAGCTTCAAGAGCCTGCGCAAAGAATAACAGTTTTCCCTTTATTTTCCTCTCAAACTACGGAGCATGACACCAAAAAAATAGCAGTATGAAGGTACAAATATGCCAAGTAAACTAGCCCAGAAGATGAAGAGAAATACACAGTGGATGGATTCATGCAATATCAAATCTGTGAGCTAACCTTTTGACGCCTAGCTCTTGTCTCATGGTCTAGCTTTGACCGGGGACCTTTTGATGCCATCTTTCCAATCATTCGCACAGAGCTATCTCATATCTTAGAGCATGTGCAGCAAACTGGGACTGGTATACCAACAGTGCAGCAACTGTTAGTGATTAGTACCTTCAGAAATCAGAAGTGTAGCAATATGTAGCGAGTAGCAAGGAAAAAGAGCTGATGTAGCAATTTCAGTTTCTGTAAATCCCCCTAGTTCTTTGTAGTCTGCTTGTACATAAAAAACCTTTTACATTTGTAAAATTTGATCATGCTGGAGGGTTTTAGCCCCATAGCTTTGGGTCAAATAAAAAAAATCAATGAACCAGGAAAATACGCGCCCAATGTGTTGAAGAGCAGATGGTGCAATATGCCTTCAGGTGCAATGAGCCAATGAAAAATTTAATGTTGAAAGCAGGTATCCAACATTCCAACCCATAGTAACATATACTGAATGAGCTATTCTGAAACCCCTGGAGGTAACTACATCCTCTGATTCCAAATATAGGCCATTTAGACTTGAGCACAAGGATTAAGTAGTATATCAAATGGCCTTAGGGCCCTTCACTTAATATGCACATTTGGAAAGATGACTCATTCATTTGTGTGAGTGGTAGCATTTATTAAGCAGGGGCAAGAATGGACAAAAGGGGTAAACAAAGTGTAGAAGTTCTAAAACGACCTAAAAATAAAAATGCTAAAATGACCTACATTTGGAATCAGAGTATTAAAAAGCATGACAAAAAATTGGCTTTACACACTCCCCATTCCTTCATTTGCGATGAATTTTTTTCAATAATGAACCAACACAGAGGAATTCTAATGCAGATCAGCAGAAGTAAAGCATAGGACACTTTTGGTGGCGATGCCAGAAATAACTATGGTGCTGTTTGGTTAGTGCACTGCCAACGTAAACGTCAATGGGAATGGATAACGCTGCAACCTGGAAAAAAGTAATCATTTGCTCTGATTGTTTAGTTCACGTGAGGCGATAGCTGCCAGCAATGTGATCCGTTTGCGGTGGGTCCTGGGTGGTAAGCACGGTGCATATCACAGGATCGAGTCCCGCCGTGAGACGACTACAGCATATATCTTAACCAAACAGATATGAACGTTAGTGAATACCACTGTGAATCGTTTCCGGTGCAAAATAGTCCAACCAAACTGCACCTATATTCTAAGAAATCCCACAGCTACGCATAACATATCACAGTAACATTTCCTCTAGTTGTTCTTAAAGAGTAAAATTCATTCCGCAGCTATCTAGTGAAAAACTTTAAGTTGCATTATTTTATCAAGCTGACTCAAAATTTGGTTAGAGAACTAACACAGGCAACTACATGAATGGAATCAATGAGTATCCCAATAATACTTAGAGACTTCAGGGAATATCTGGTGAAATTCCCACTCTAGCAAAACTAGTCAAATGTACTGACATTATGTTCGCCTAAAATCATGCAGGGTAGCCACATTGGCATTGTTCAAACTCCAAATCCCTACAGCAATGCACCACAACATAAAAGGCTCATTAATCACACACAAGGGGGCCCCGAACATAACAAGCCCTCCGATCCCCATAGATGCAAACCCAGCTGGAATGGCTAGAACCCCAAGGTACAGCAGTGGAGATAAACAGCCGCAACCAGGAGCTCCAGTCTACAGCCAGCAGCTGACATCAGATGTGGTGTGGAGGTTCACTTGCACAAAGGGTTGGAAAATAAAGCAAATCACCTATACATGCAGTCTGGATGGGCTGGGAAGAAAAACAAAAAAAATGGATTTCAAGGATCGTTATAAGGAAGGGGAAGTGACTAACTAACTATTGCAAAACAAAATGAGCAATCCGTCCAAGCAAGGTAGGGTCCTATAGCCCAAACAAGAAGCATCTCAAGTCCCGATGGATCGGATCTCCACTCCACGCCATGGCGTCCAGCAGTGGCGGTCCCAGAAATGGAGCTAAGTATGGCAGTCTAAGAGTCCAGCTAGGTTGAAATTAAAGCATTAAACTATGTCTCAGTCAAAGTACCAACCTGCAGGTGCCGCGGCGGGATCTGTCAGCCGCTATACCGGAGGCAGCACGCACTGCCGCAGTGGCGGGCGCCTTCCGGCGGCGCTGCCGCGTGTGGGGACGTGCAGACGGCTTCGGTTCGGCGGTGGTCGGCGCCGAACTCGCGTTGGGGGCGCACAACCCACTGGGCACAGGTGGCCGTGCAGCCCTGGACGGGATGCAAAGGCGGCGGCGCGTGGTTGCACCGGCGCCAGCGGCCGGAGGAGGAGGGGACACACCGGCGGCCGGAGCGCGGGAGCAAGGAGGCTAGGGTTTAGGCCTTTAGGATGAATGGGGAACGGGGAGGAGGAGGCGAGTCGCGACTGCGAGCATCGAAGCTACGCGACGGGCGGACGGGCGTCGGGGCTTCGGGAGACAGAGTCGCAGGACCCGCATCGGGAGGATGGGAGATTGGGCTGTGGACCAGGGCGGATGGGCCGGGTATTACCTGGGGCTAATGGATCGGACTGGTGCATCAGACCCAGTTCTGGGACTAGCTCAGGCCCGCCTGGTATCGTAGAAAGAAATGCTCGAGACGACGGACGGGAAGAGGGCTCGAGAGCGTGGCATGCAAGGCGAGTATGGTATATATATATATATATATAGCATCTCATATTCCGTCTCATGAAGTGACATTCAGGATTTTTTCTGATTTTTGAAGAAAAGAGGGAGGGAGGGAGGGAGAAAGAGATGGTTGCTTCGTGAAACAACCGTCTCATGGGTTAAAATTTATAACTATGAGACAACTATTATATTATTGTATGAGTTGTTATTGTCATATAACTCATAATTTTACTTTTATTTATATGCATAAATTAATAAAATGTGAGTTACTATGAGATAACTTAAAAGACAATCTTTGTATATATATTGTCTATATATATTATCTAGTAAGTCGTCTTAAAATCACGTGGCACTACATGAGCCTGTCTATGAGATGTACTTGCCCTAAAAGGGCTCGAGGGGCATCAAGTTGCGTTGAGCTCTCGTATTACGATAGCCAGCGGTGAGATGGTGGTGGTGACAACTAATCCTTGTTTAACACAGCACGTAAGATATACATCTATAACCTAATTTCTGAATGTTACAACTTCTCTAAATTATGTTGCAAACATATATTGACATGAAACAAAATGTTTATGGATTGAAACGTGTGTTGTTTTAAATCATACTTTTACAATAGATACCCTACTCTCATATGAAACATGTGTTCTATTTCTTCTGAAACACAAACTAAAATGAATTGCCACACTGGGAAAAATGTCGTTGCACCATAATGCTCCTATTTTTTACATAAAACATGGGTCATGTCAGTTTGCTAAACACAGGAGGGTACAATTGATGGGAGCAATACCACCATGGGACATCGCATTGCTGTAACCATCTGTTGATATTTTCACAAGTTTGCTATTGCATTCAAATATTCTCCAAGTACAAAGGGGAACCACATTATTTGAAAAATGAAATACTACTATGATGTTGATTATACCTTCACTTTGTTGGCATGTTGATGGTCAGATTGATCACTAGAGACCATCAACAAACTCTCCAAATTTCTCCTTTGCTTGTCCCGAGTAAAGACGAAGACTTAGGAATGGTGGATCAGGAGTTACTACAATGTTAACTCCTCAAAGTACTTGCGTACAAATCAAGAGTCTATCTTTCGAATTGAATAAGCTGGCATTTAAATACCCATCCATATTAACTTAGTCATTATAGGGCTTATAGCTTTCACCTTGTCATGAGCGGTTGAAAGACAACGGCTAGATAGAGTGCTTGTTCTCCCATCCTTTGCTTGGTATGATCTTCCAGAGTTTTTTTTATAAATTTTGCAAATAAAAAAGCTTAAGTTACTCAAATAGTACTCTCAAATCTCTTAATAGTGTATGTATCCTCACCAAAGGCCATAGCCTCTTATTCGCAAAAAAAAAGTCCATAGCCTCAACATTCTATTTCTAAAGATTATTGGAGTTCGTGGGCACAAGATGATCGTAAGGCATACTTGAATTGTGTCGTATTGCTAAGTCAAACATTTGGATCCATGGAGAAACAAATCATACACTTAGATCAAAATGTGCAAATGTGTGGAGCATGGTGGAAGAGATACAAGGAAGCAAGGTGGTGCTATTACAAAAGCATGCACATATGACATAGGCAACAACAAAAGCTCATAGTGTTGGCAAGAGCATAGCTAGGACTCTAAGCTAAAGCTCACTAGGATCTCATGGATGTTTGATGTTTTTGAAAGCATGTGATGATCAGACAACAAAGAAATAGGAACAAGTGAAACAGAGGAACATGAAGGAATTATCTACAATGTGAAGCTGAACAACCGGAGCATCATAGACTTGATTAGTACACGGCCGTGTCTAATGCGCAACAAATAAACCGTGCGGCTCAACAGAGGAGTCTACAATGATGCTGGCCGCGGAGAAGATAGAGGTCTCTCCCTGACTTAGGCCATCTTTGCACATAGATTTGGTCTCTCAAGGATGCAAATGGCCAACAAAAAAAGGTTATCCCAAGGCACAATTATTATAGCAATGGAAGGCAGTAACTCAAGGAGGACCAAGTCCAAGAAAGTGAATAAAGTAAGGGAGACTGTAGCACAAGGGTTGCTCGTGAAGGCACATAGTGGATAAATGCATCATTTTTTTACGAAGGTGGTAAGTTTGACTTGGATGTAGGCTCGGGACACTGTGCAGCTACAAGGGTACTGCTTAAGCCTAGCTCTTCAGGCTAGGCATTCGGTTGGATCCAACAATTAGGTTCGGTTTTAATAAAATTCGGATTCGACAAAGGGTGGAACCAATCGGTTGCAGGAAGAAATAGAAACCAATGATTTCGCCCTTACTTACAATGGTTCGGTGTTCGGTTTCAACCGAAGTGTCTCCTGCTCGCCATGGCGCCATGTTTCTCCATATTGCCGCTTCCCCTGCTGCTCATCGTTCGAACTCCGTGTTACCCGGTAGAGCTCGCATTT